AAAACTGACATTTGTTGACTTGTATAGAGGCGGTCAGAGGAACCAGATGCAATCTCAGCGAAACAACCGTCGATATCAGAGACTGAAGCTTTCGGTCTAGCCTAGTGCTAGACCAAAAGCTTCAGTCTCTACATGTATATTGTCGGATGTTCCACTGAGACTAGTCTGGCTTCACTAGACCTCCGATTATATGGGGAATGTCAACAAATGTCAGTTTTATTAAAGAAATGACCCATATCAGACGGTTATTTCTGTCTAGCCTAGTGCTTGCATTTCCATGGCATAATTTTATCAAACGAATTCGTTTTCACTGGCTAACAAACGGAATTAACAAAATTCTCTTTACCTTTACCTTTACCCGAGATTCTGGAAGAATGCTGTGTTCTCAGCAGTCGGGCTTCCAGTTCAATTTCATTTTCTTCCTTCTCGTAGTTGGGTGTCTTCTTGTTAAGTTTGTCTGGCTCAGTTCTGCGTCGGTATTCTACTCATATATGGATTATGGGGAGCAGAAACGCTTGTCCTTCCATACTCGATCCAGTCTGGCTTTAAAGGCATTCACCGTGGTAGCAGTGACTACCTCTTCAGGAAGTGTGTTCCAGTCATTGATGTGACGTTGGCTGAATGCATCTTGGCTGAATGCATCTTGGCTGAATGCATCTTGCCTAATCTTCGTTGAGCATCTCTGTTTTACTATCTTTAGACTGTGGCCTCTTGTGTTGCTAGTCGAGTGCTCAAAGAAGGTATCAACTGGGATGCGTTCAAGTCCATGGATGATTTTGAAAACCTGAATCATGTCGCCTCGCCGTCTGCGATATTCGAGGGAGGTTAAGGTTAAGCGCCCGAAGTCTCTCTATGTAAGGACGGTTGCAGATGTCATAAATCATGTTGGTAGCTCTCTTCTGCACCCTCTCTATGGTCTTGAAATCCTTCTAATTGATGATTTTGGTGCGAATAACAAACTCTTCCAACTTCATCCGTGAAGAGTCAAGGCAAAAGAGGGTGAAACTCATCACTCTCCCAACCAATACTAATACTCGCACGTGCGTAGAAATGGAAGTTTTCACCCTACGTCGTGTTTACATGAGGCTGCCAGTAGTATCTTCGTACGCTACAACGTGTGAGCGAATGGGGAAATTCCCTTTCTCTCCCTCCGGAGAAAATTGGGAGAAATCTGAATCCGCCCTCCTGATTGGTCTAACCCCTACCGAGCCACGGCCTGGTAGCGATATACCAGGGCATACGCAGGGGTTAATCCAAGAATGAAAATATAGACTTTTTGTTGTTATTTTTTGTCTTTGTTTTTAATTTGGTTGTTTTTGTATTTTTTTCTTTTTCTCACCCAGTATCTGTTGGCTTTCTTGATCAATCAAAGTGGATATGCCGTCTATTACCTACTCTTCACTCTCGCTTCTATGGGTCTGTATGACTGATAATAATAATAATAATATAATACAAATAGATCTAATAATAATAATATTAATTGTGATGGTGGCTTCTTTTATAGCACTCATGTTCCATTTATTTTGCCGGTCAGAGAAGTTTAAGACTCAATATATGCTTCTATAAATGTTAACAATTTTGCTTATACTTCGTTTATTTAGCAGACCTGTCTTTGGTAGCTGCCCCAATAGTAACAAACTCATTAATGTTCATTATCACAACACTGACATGAAAGATGGAGAGAGAATAGGTTGAACACAGGCGGGGATCAAGGGCGGCCGAGCGGGCCTTGCCCCCCCCCCCCCCCCGCGAAAAAAAGAGAAGAAGGAAAGAAGGGAAAGGGAAAGGGAAAGAGGAGAGAAAGGGAAAGTAAGAAGAGGAAGGGGAAAAGGAGATAGGGTGGATTACAAATAATGCTGAAATGACATAATTTCCGAGATTTTTCCTCACTTTGAGTAAATTATACTTTTTTATGCGTTTGATGGAAAATAACAAATTCCTGAATTTACAGCCAGGCAAGAAATATGGTTCTTGAGATTCCTACATGTCAGGGCCTGATGAACGGCAGGGATCGGAAGCCTCGAGCTCCCCCCCCCCCCCCCCCCCCCCCCCCCCCCCCCACTTTAAAAAAATATATTAAAGAGAGAAAAAAGAAAGAAAAAAAAGAAAGAGAGCCAGAAAGAAAAATTAAGAATAGTTAACTGCCAGTGTCAACAAAATGTGATTAAATGAATAAATGCCTAAAACCGTGATTAAATGCTTAAAACCCCTAAGCTTCTGGGGCTCTGCCCCATGGATTCCACCTAGGCCCCTAAGGCGGGCCCCTGAATGCTTATCTTACGGTAATTTAATGCCTTAAACCTCTGATTTTGTGGTGTCCTGCCAGTGTCACAAAATAATAAGGTATACAAAAAAAAATGCTCATCTGACCTTCATTATACGCCTAAAACCCCTGAGCTTTCGGGGGCTCCACCGCCTCGACCCCAACAGGAGCCCTAAGGCGGGCCCCTGAATGCTTATCTGACCGTAATTTATTGCTTTAAACCCCTGAGCTTCCGGGGTCGGACAAGGTATCAAAATGTGTTTATCTGACCGCAGGCGCGTAGCTAGAGGGCGGTGGGGGCGGTGCGCCCAAAATCACCGCCCCCCCCCCAAAAAAAAAAGAGAGGAAAGAAAAGAAGAGGACGTAGGAAGAAAAAGGAGCAGACAAAGAATATGTTTGAAATTCAGACAAGGATTAAGAGTAGAGAACGGAACAACGCATCGTCTTCTTTCTCTAATGATTTAATAAAACGTCAAAGCTTTAACGCTCCGCGCAGGAAAGGGAAGGGGGAGGGGGGGGGGGCTGATTTCAGAAAAGGATAAGGAGTCGAGAACGGTACAGCGAATCGTCTTCTTTCTCTAATAATTTCATGAAACGTCAAAGCCGTAATTCCACGCTTCGCGCAGGAGGGGGCTGGGAAAATGAATTCAGACGAGGATTATTTTCGAGAACGGTACAACGAATCGTCTTCTTTCTCTAATAATTTAATGAAAGGTCAAAGCTTCCGCGCTTCACGTAAGAGAGGGGAGGGGAAGGCACTGAATTCAGGCAAGGATTAAAAGTCGAGAACTGTACAACGAATCGCCTCATAGTCTTTCTCTAACGCTTTAATGAAACTTAAAAGCTTCCACGCTTCGCGCGGGAGGGGGGGGGGGAACCTGAATTCAGACGAGGATTAAGAGTCGAGAACTAGTGTACAACGAATCGTCTTCTTTCTCTAATGATTTAATGAAATGTAAAAGCTTCCGCGCTTCGCGCGGGAGGGGGAAAAACTAAATTAAGACGAGAATCATTTTCGAGAACTGTACAACGAATCGTCTTCTTTCTCTAATGATTTGATAACACGTAAAGGCTTCCGAGCTTCGCGCGGGAGGGGGGTGGGTGGAAACTAAATTCAGACGAGGATTATTTTCGAGAACGGTACAACGAATCGTCTTCTTTCTTTAATAATTTAATGAAACGTCAAAGCTTCAGCGTTCGCGAAGGAGGGAGGGGAAAACTCGCCCCTCCCTGCACCCACCCCCCCCCCCGCATTACGTCACTGCTGGTCACCATTACGTTCCAATATTTGGCTCGCATAATTTCACATTTGGGCGCACCCCCCCCCCCCTAAGAAATCCTGGATCCACGCCTGGTTGAACAGGTATGTCTTCTTAAAGCCTATCTGCACTAGTTTGGCCAGGGGATTAGACCTAATTCCTTCGGGGGTCCCTGGCAGATGATTGTCTCATCAAATCAGCTCTCAATTAACATAAGAAAAAGGGATCAGGGGGATCAACGGGTACCGCTTAGGAGGTGTTTGGTATATAGAGGGCGCAAGTAGCTATAAGTAGAGTTCTGGGAAGGGTTAAAAAAAAGATATGTTCTGAGCTTTCTCATTATTTTATGTCAGTGTGGGAGGCTATCACAAAAGAAGTTGCCATTTGAAAATTATTACTCTTAAAATACCTTTATATTTAAATAAAGATACGATGAGAATGAGCTAAAAGTTAGGACAAAACTTTCAAGCTACATGTTTGTGTAGTCCCATATTCACTTTTTCACTGTATTTGAATGCTGTATACAAAAATCGTTTTGATATTGGATGTAAAAAATGTAAATGAGAATTTGTGTGTTTGTTGTAAAAATTGGGGCAAGTATATATGAAGAAAACAAAATTCACTCTTCATTGTGCAGTGCATACCGACAAGTTACGTTCAGTAAAGCCCAAGTGAATTCCTTTTTAATTAGATTATTAGTATAGAATAAGTAAGGAAAGAGAGAGAAAGGCAGAGACAGAGACAGAGAAAGAGAAAGAGAAGGGGATGGGAGAGAGACTGGGGAAATTGACCATCTAAAATGATAGAAAGAGATGACAAAAGTTTAACATATGTCTAGTAAATGGTTGTCTTTGAACATCTTTGAAGTTGGGTCCAGGAGGAAGAGGAGAGAAGAAGAAAAAATCATACATACGATTCCAGAAACCTTTCAAGTTCCAAGAATAACAGCAAAGAAAGGACAACCATGACAAAACTTAGCTGAAAACATGCGGAAAAGGAATTCCCTCACTGAGTGATTGGGCACTTATATTTCCATCATGACCCAAACTTTTAGAATATGTAACAAGAGCTGAACAAAATAAACTTTAAACACTGGTATCTGTTTTAAGTTTTTATTGCAGAGGGAAACAAAATGTTTCTGTTTCAATTATAGTACAAAGCATTACATCTTGAAAAGAATTCCATATAAAAGTACTTGTAAAATAGTGATAGAATATAGTTTACAAATATCTACTAGTAACAGTATGAGGATAATGTACTGGGTAATATTTATACAGTGTTTCGTTAAAAAGCTTCTGGCTACATCTACAATGGAATGAAGATATTGATTCTTTCTGTGAAAGGCATTTTATCCATATATATATATATATGTAATGACATGTTTTAATAACATACACAGTCTAGCTACAGTGAGTTAGATAGTCCCATACAGTGTTTTTCATGTTCTTTGTATTATATACATGTGTTTGTTTCTTTACACACATAAATCCATCTACATGTACATGTACACGGTCGCATCACACTGTGCAGCATTCCAATGCAATATGAAACGGACTGGAGAAAAATATTTAGGGTAAGCCTTGATGAACCATTATTGTAACTACAGCAAAAAAATAAAAAAATTTAAGAGAGTGTGTCAAACATAGGCTTTCTTGAACTTACTTTTGAATAAAATTTTGATATGTCTGGAGAAATCGTAACATGCTTTCTTAAAAGTACTGGAAAATGGACTTTTGAAAAGTACTGGAAATATTGTTTTAATCATCTTGGGTATTGATGTCGTTTGCCGACTCTATTTTTTCTCTTGAACACGCCTTAAACAAACCCTTAAATAATATAACTAATATGCCTAAAGTTCTACACAGTCTTGAATTCTGTGACACTGTATGACCTGAAAGATTGAATTAACCCATTAATTACCGGAGCCGGATAGTCCATGAAAAGCTTATGGGAATGGGAGAATTCAGCAGGAAAAGGATTAACAAGATTACAAACATGATTGATCTACAAGAAATATTAGTTTAGATAATGTCATAATCATGTTTCTGGATTATACATCTATTCTCTCTGCATTCTAAAAAATAAACCATCATTTCTTTCCCTCAACAACTGCCAAGCTCATATTATTTTAAGTTTTATACATACATAAAAATATCTGAAGTACATTTTCATTTATTTACAAGCATCATTGTAGAATGTGAATCATTTATACTCTTCATCTCGTACCTGATACAAAAAAAAGATTTTTATTCTAAAATGGAAAGAATAACAATGTTTTGGTCTAATTACCGAGGAATTGTAATTGGTACATGTCCTTGGTACTAAATGCTGCTAGAGACAAAAGACAACAAGTTTTATTTCGAGAATATTGGAAATTGACCTGGTATATCACACAATACAGTACAAAAACAGTAAAGTATTAAATCTGAGATGGAGTATGTGTTGAGCTTAATTTATGAAGCAATTTGATGGATTTCTGTTTCATTGAGGAGAATTAAAAACGGGAGTCTTCTGCCTCAACCTTTAGCTGTAAACTTTGATGTCTTGAAATATGTACCAATCAACATATGTTTCAAAGATGAAATATACAAGTAGAGTTCTAAAAAGAATTGTATTACATGCATCAGCAAAAATAACCAATCATAATTGCGATCCTAATTCAATGTATTTTAACTGAATACCAGGGATATTGAATAATTAAAACCAAAGTGGCACTACGCACACTAATAATTCTAAAGGCTTGTAAAGATATGAAGTGGTAAACCATTACAATGGCATTAAACAAAAAAAAATACATGTCAAGGAATGGCAAATGCTTACAACAAAGTTACTTTGTGTATTCAGTTAGCTTTGTACCATAAGATACAGAGATGCGAAGGGTCGTATATTACATTAACATTTTTTTGTTTTAATGCCTTGATTTACCAGTTCATATTTACCCTTAAGGGTTACTTTATTATGAAAATGGGGGGGGGGGGGGGGGATTCAGAAAATCTTCTGACGAACATGCACATACATACAGAAAGGTTCAAAAGTTTGAAAACAAGGGCAATATTTTACATCTCACAATTTGGCAAGAGAAGATTTTTCAAGAGGGGATAGAGGATTCTGGAACGAGGCCTACACGATGTCTACAAAAAAATTCCTACACATCAGTATCAAGTGTTTGTACAATATTTTCTGGTACTGGTACACATTGAAGTGTCTAGACTAGATTAATACAAAAGAACTGTATTATTTTTCTAAAAACAATTGCCCCGTTCAAAGTATGTTTATAAGTTATGGAATCTATATAAAATCACTTGGAAGCAATTATTGAAGAAAAAGATCCTGATTATTATTCATAATTGTTATTCTCCATAGCTGTTGGTTTTATTTACACAAATATGATTAGATAATATTCAATTGTAATCAGTGATATTTTATAAAGTGTGTTATATTTACATTACATATGTCTGGCTAAAAGATGACTAAAACCTCACGTATCACTATTAATTAGTACATACACTTGGATACATGTTTTTGGTTAAAAAAATTACTAAGAGAACAGCACATTCCATATGAAATTCACCTGCATTGAAAACACCTTTTCACCTTACATGTAAGAACTATCTAAAAGTCTGATTTCTTGAATATCCATGAAATAGATGAAGCAAATAATTTATAGAATTATTGGAAAACATGAAATTTAGAACAGAAACAAAATAAAGATGGAATTTAAAAAAAATATATAGTAGAAAATCTAAAATAAAATAAAAATGTTAAACAGAATTTCACAACCGAACTGTGTCACAATGTTTTAAATCAGATTGAGTTATATTCAAAGACTCTCAATGACATCACAAGGTCAAATCTACTAATCATTGTGACATCACAAGGTCAAATCTAATCATTGTGACATCACAAGGTCAAACCTAATCATTGTGACATCACTTGACTTCTATGTCAAACATATCTAGCAGATGTACTTGCAATGTGAGTACCGTGTAATACAATGTATGTGCATAGGTATATCTACACCATCGTTGATTATCAAAAAATGCACCATTGATGTCTAATATTCCACATAAAATAAAACGCACTGTACAAAGATCTTTATAGAAAGCTCTAGGTACTTAGAAATCAATGAAAATAGACAAATAGTAGCAAAGATTTAATATATACAGTACATGTAGGTACATAGAACAAAGGTCAAAGATCAAAGGTCTCTTCCCTTTGGAACTACTATTCCTAAATACAAGAGGATTCGAAATGGCACATTTGGGTGTTTATAACAACATCATACTAGTTTCATTCAACCTATCTATCAAGACATATCTGCAACTGGCCAGAACTCTGCCAATGAACCCCAGCGACGGTTTAAATCTCAATATAAGCCATGTTAAACACTGCAACAAACTAGACCTCAGTATAATTTTCTCTGTAAATTTTGATTTTACAGTTGATTTACTGTTAGAATGAGATATAATTTGGTTAAAAATAGAGAGGAAACAAAAATCTATAAAATTTGGAAACAATGAACGGTTGCAACCTGAATTCTCAACTACAAAAATGAAATGATATAAAACTATATCACCTAAAGTAAATAAACCACTTCATAAGGCATAAAAATATGGTTTATAGAGCATTATTCTCTCTATAAATGGTATCCCTGTTTTCGGAACATGTTTTATACGAACTGCTACATGTACATGTATAATTATTCACTGACAGACATTCATAAAGGAGATTCAAATGAAAACCATGGGTTACCGCCCACTATGGAATACGCATGTATAAGTTGTACTTACTGAGAGTGTATTGAACACATGTACTATGCTTATAGAGTTATAAAACACAGGAAGCTTAAATAAATGAAGTCGAACAAATAGACATGCATGAGAATCTGAGTCAAAATTTCTACCTGATATAATACAAAAATATACAAAATAAATGTATGCCTATAATCATTTGTTCCTGCTCGTAATCTAACTTTTAATCAACAGAAAATTGACTATAAGTACTCCTTCCTCGCGTTAAACTCAGTTAATCATGAAGTTTTAGCGCTGCGTAGTCTTGAAAATGTCAGAGCACCTCATTCATACATGATAGGACAAACCATCTCAAAAGTAAAAAGCTGTAGCAAGATAAAACGATTTGACATGAAAATGAGAGGGAAAGTGACGCTGAAAAATTACCTGCAGACAACAGACTCCTAAGCATAGTTATATATCTGTTTGGTATAAAATACAGAAATTTAAAAGGCACTGTTCTCACGTCATTCTATGTTGCTGCAGCCCTTTAATTTTTGTTTACACAGTTTGAAATATCATGTATGAACGAGGCTTTAAACAAGTGACAGCTCAAACTCAAAGCGCACAGGAGGAGCAAGTAGACCCAATCTCTTTTTTGTTGTTTTACAGAACAACCTCCACATCCTAATAATCTTGCCAGAGGTCTGCCCAACCTAGCGATAAGTATTACAGGCAACTCTATAACATCCACACAAGTAAATGCAAATGTACCAAAAGTCATTGAAAATCGAGGTAAATTCTGTGATTCGTTTTCTCTCATCCAAAAGACATGAAAGAGCTGTAGATATTTTCAACATGAACATTTCATCGCAAACATATACGTTTTTACTCTTCATCAATTACCAATATGCCTGATATTCAAAATAAGCTACACTTGAAAAGCATGTAGCTACATGTACAGATCCCTTGAAATGTTCATTACAAAGTCCTAAAAAATTACTCACATGATTGTGTTTAAAAAGTACCATAATACAGTGACTGTTTATCGTCTTTAGACTATAGTACTATCTGAAAAGATGAGGAAACAAAGAGAGGGAATGTATATAAATCATCGGTTATGACATTATTCAGATCAGTCGAGTATAAAAATAACTTTCTTCCATCAAACGAAGTATAAAAGGAGTACCTATGATTACATGTTGTCTATTCGGAGCAAGAAGGACGCCAACTCGTTTGATTTTAAACACAGTTAACGTCCTTTTGGCTCTATACAGACAGTTAAAAACTCTAATGGCTCACACATACAGGTGACCTGCTGATGTCAAGGGAGGATGGGTTACTCTAAAGCCTTATACATATGAATTGAATTCAATCATTGAACATTAAACTTAGGGTGCGTTCAAGCAACACTTCGTCAGTCGTAAAAATAAACGTGTTTAAAAACGCAAACATGAAACGCTGAAAAAGATGCTTTTTATATCGTGATTCTGCAGAATCACGGTTGCTAAAAAATCGCTTGAACGAACGGAGATCTCAATCATGATTCTATAACGTCATTATCGTTGCCTGCTTCCGGTTTGGCCTACAGTCGACCGTAAACAACTTCAGAAAGCCCGCAGTGAAGTTGACCTATACTTCCTGTGTCAAACTGCACAGTGTGATGAGCAGCAGCTGGGCTTGAAAAGTGCGAGAATCAGCGTTGATGAAAAATCGCTAGAATTCTCCTGCAGTAAACTTGTTTTTTAATGGTGTTTTGATTGTGGTTCTAGCTTTTTTTTAAAAATCGCTTGAACGCACCCTTAGCGATGATTGGAAACACTAACACAGGGAAGCAAGTTAAAGATCTCAATGCTTGCATAATTTATAGATGGAATACATCAATAACCTTAAACACAACTCCTACCTTATACTAGCACCCTTGATCTATTGCCAAACATAGATTGCTTAGACTTTTCTATAGCTGTATGGCACAACTGGTTCTTTGTTTTAAATCGTTGTGATTGATTCAAATTGATCGTAACTTGATACCAATCACAATCTACACTACAGAGATATGAGTTTGTAATTTTCGATTGATTGGAGAACTTGCAATCGATGCAGAGTAGTTGCAGCTTTTGATATTAAGACAGGGCCCTAAATGACAAGAAAAACTGTTCAAAGAGCAAAACACAGTGTTATATCTCGGGGCTGACTCAATTTGGCAAGGTGCAGAAAGATGTTTCATAAAATCATTTAATTTTGTGGTTAAGCCTAATATATTCTTGCTTTTTTTACATTATTTTTGCTATAGACATATCGATTTTTCATTATCATTTACAAAGATATAAGTGAGATGAACTTCATTTTTTTTTAGTCTCTTGGCATATTGATCTATTTGTAGCATATCAATCTCAGTCTTGTCAGAGAGAGACTACAACCATTTTACTTTAGCATTATAAAGCGACCCATCTTATACCAACTATTAGCAGTTAAGACGTCTTTCTCTCCAAACCAGTTTATCTTTTAGAATGGATGTGGTGAGAGACGATAGGATCATGTCGAGAATGAGGTCCTGACTCTTAGGAGACAATGTCCTTTTAAAAGACAATCTTCGGGAGACACTATCCATTAGTTAAGAAGGAATGTTGTCTTTCAGTGAACAAGATGTTGATTCAAAGGAAAAGGGGCTACAGGTACTGTACATCACAGAGGGTCAGGTTTCCTATACTTTCTGAAGAGCATCCAGAAAGCGAAACTGTATGTGTATTCATGATTCTTTCCACAGATTGTCAAATTAAGAGACAAACCATTGGAGCAATTACACAACTCAACAGAACAATTTCTCTGTATTAAACGATGGAGCTGTAATAGAAATCTTTCACGACACTGTCCATTCAAGAGATGATCTTTCAAAACATTGTCCATTCAAGAGACAATCTTTCAAGACACTGTCCATTCAAGAGACAATCTTTCAAGACACTGTCCATTCATTCAAGAGACAATCTTTGCCAGCTAATCGGCCTCCTTGTAGTTGGGTTCGGTCGAGACGAAGTAGTCATCCAGGCAGAAGTGAAGGAACTCGAACGTGGGCCTCTGCTGGGGATCTTTGTGCCAGCATTTCAACATGATCTCGTAGAGAGAGTCCGGACAGTGATGCATCTTAGGCATACGATACCCAAGGTCCACCTGATCTAGCACCTCCCGATTCGTCATACCTGTAACAGAAACAAAGAATCAACAACTAATCAAAAACAGGCTCTAGATTTCTCTGCACATTTCATTTCATTTTATTTCTTTATTACAGACCTGCCAACCTCCGGAGTTCAAAAACTGTATTCTTTAATCCCCAAAGTTGTAATTTACAGACAAAAGTTGTATTCTTTTTAAAAAACACGGACTGTTACGAGGATCAATGCCTCTTAATACAGTTCCTACATACAGGAAGAATTTTTGTATGGACCATTGGTTGAATATACATGATTTTGTCACGACTGGTGTGTTCGATAAACCAATGAACATCCCCAAATTGCTGATGTAAGATGCTTGTAGGATACTTACCAGTTTTTTTTTTTTTTTTTTTTTAATTGTTTTTTATTGAGAAAAATCGTACTGTCGTATTTGCTTCTAAAAATCGTACTGGTTGGCAGGTCTGTTATTATGTCCATAGAGGATAGTTGTTCATATTTACATTCTTGCTTTACAGTAATTTCATAAGAACAACATATAATTGACAATCATAAGTACTTAATTAAATACATGTGAATTGTAAACATATGCTTCATGTTTGTCTGAATTTTGTTCAACCTCGTTTCTGATTTAGTCTCAAGGCCCTGTTTACAAGAGTTTACTGTGTCATTCTGTATACGTACCAGTCATTGTTTGCATGATTTTGTACGCTTCAGTTTTGCTGCTTGTAAATGTTTAATGAAGCATGTATATATTGATGAATTGAATGATCATTATAAAGGAGGTGATAAGTATTGCTACCAGTAACATTATCATCATTGCTCTCCTTATTCTGTAAGTCAATATTATCTCCATTTGTGAAAATGAAACTACTGCAAAACCATAACTTTTGCAAATTGTTAACGACAGCGATTTTTGCCGCAAAAATTTCCTGTTGTGATGCATCAATTTGCAGGATGGAATTTTCACAAATCTAGATGACGATGGAAAAATCATGAAAGTTTCTTAAAGATATAGACAGGTAGTGGTAAAATTGCGGTTCAAGGGTTTTGGGTGCAAAATATCCATTCAATATTGTTTAAATATTGCCATCAGAGGTTTAGATAGCAATACTTCTAACCAAAATTCTCACAAAAGCAGAAACATATGCCCAAATGTTGAAGTGCATTCGCGATATCTATCCAGGCCGGATCGATATGATGATTAACTAAATATATCAATTAGTAGGCAGTTTCCCAGCTTCTATCACAGACTAATCTATTTGATGACTCACCGGGATATGGGATACGACCGAAGGTAACTATCTCTGTCATCAGGATTCCAAATGACCAGACGTCTGATTTGATGGTGAACCTTCCGTGAAGGGCAGCCTCAGGAGCAGTCCACTTGATTGGGAACTTGGCACCTAGGAAAGAAATCAAGTCAGAAAGAAAATATAATAAACCTGCTTTAGCAACCACCTGTAAAGACCACTTGTCTATACAGGCTACTGACTCCAGGGGGTGTTTCACAAAGATCCTAAGTTGAACTTATCTCTAAGTTGGACTCGACAATTATGAAAAGCCGTTTTCATCTTTGAAAATATTTTGTAAAAGTTATTTTAAAAGGCATAAAATGTTGATTCAAATCATTCATATTTTCTATCATCAAGGAGATTTCATGCTCTTGATGTGGAATTTATGAAAAGTCTGAAATACTTCAATTTTTGCTTTTTCATAAATTTTATTTTAAGGCTACAAATGGCTCTCCATAATGTTATAAATCCAAGTTCGACTTAGGACCTATGTGAAACACCCCCTGGAGAATAAAGTCTGACAGACATGACCACTATAAAAAAACCCACTACTATTAGCAAATAGTATTGTTTCCCTTGAAAAGTATTTCATTGGAATTTGTATGTCAGTAAAAAGTACAATAAGACCGCCTGCCTATGATGAGCCCGAAAATGAAGACACTCTGACGTCATCTTCATCATCATCTATCAAAGTCAGTGTTTTCCCTCTTATGAGGGTTACTGAATGCTCCCCAGGGAGTGGAAAATGTACACACATTGTGTTCGGGTAAGCCCGAGTCCGATGACCGGGGAAATAATATATCTTTAAAGCACTTAGGCGCATCGTTGGATCGATGTATTGAGCGCTATATAAAAACAGAATATTATTATTATTACTGACTTTCGAGCCATGACACTCCCTCTACATCTTTTTGTCTCAAGCAACCTCCGCATTTAAACCAACTTTACTGCCGTCTTTCTTCACCATATCTTTCCATGAAATCTTTGGTTTCCCTTTCCCTCTTAATATGCCATCCACTTCCAGATCCCAAGCACTTTTCACAGGTTCATCCCACTGCACCACTTATTGCTACTTGCGCCCTCTACATGTATATAGCAGACAATGCCTAATTGGTACCCGTTAGTCCCCCATGATCCTCTTTTTCTTATGTTAATTGGGAGCGGATTTGATGAGATAACCACCTGTCAGTGACCTTGGAGGGAGGTCTAATCCCCCTGGCTGAACTAGGACAGCCGGCCTTTAGTACCTACCTACTCTCGCCATGTATTCGTCTTCTTCGATGAGACGAGCCAGACCAAAGTCAGCGACCTTGACAACATTACCCTCACCAACCAAAACATTCCTGGCAGCAAGGTCACGATGAACAAAGTTCATGGATTCTAGATAGGCCATACCACTTGCAATCTATGAACGATATCCCAAGAAATAAGAATTTTAGAGTTAAACATTATTTTACACAATTTACTCTTTCACGTTCAGTTCATTCATTTTGATGTTATTTGAAATGAATGTTTTTATATATTGTAATTTACATTTGTAAAACATTGCCCAATTCAGCCCTTTAAGCCGTGATGCATTGTTATACTTTTATTCTCAATAAAACCATTATCGATCAATTGAACAGTTCAGATATCAATTTTTATTACACAATTTTCAATTATGAATGTAAATGCTATTTATTATCACTTACTTACACATCCTCCAGCATTTAAGTGGTTGTCAGATTTAACAGCCCAAAGGTTATATGGTATCTAATGTTTTCAGCTGAAGAAATTGCTCTCTTCTTGAAATTCATAACAGGTTCATGAATATACGTATTATGGACTGTCTGTATCACTCAAAATGTTGTACAGTCAAACCTGTCTATAGCAACCGCCGAAGGGAAACAAGGGAAATGTTACCCAGTCCCTTTAAGAAGCTCTGCTATAGGTTCTTGTGACTCACCTGTGCACCCATATCAACGTGTGTCGTCAGCTTGGTGTCTTTGCCCGTGCCATCCTTGAGATAGTCCAGTAAGCTTCCATTTGACATCAACTCTGTCACAATGTAGATTGGCTCCTGCAAAACAAAATGCAATAGCACACATTATATAAAATAATAATAATAATAATAACTAGTTCTTATATAGACCTTTTCAGGACCGCAGGCCCTCTCAAAGCACTTTACAGATATATATTATTACCCCGGTCATTGGATTCAGGCTTACCCGCACACAAGGTATGCACATTCTCCACTACCTGGAAAGCATTCCAGCCAGGCGTCAATTTTACAAGTGCTCACTTGCTAATCTAAGCACATTAGCTTTCGCATCCTACCGGGTACCCATTGAACACCTGGGTGGAGAGTGGCAAATGTAAATCACTGTCTTGCCAAAGGACATTAGTGCCGCGACGGGACTTGAACCACGGACCTTGTGATCCACAGTGCGGTGACATAACCCCTCGACCACGACACCTCTACAGTGAGAACTTGGCAACATGTACATGCAGGATAAATTGATGTTTTCAAGGGCGTCTATCCAAAAGGACCACAAGAAATGCCTATAATCATCTCTGATGGACTATTGTCCAAAAGGAAGAGGAGTGTGGTCATCTAGGAAAAGAAATAATAATCTGGGACAGGGGGGTAATTTATTCTCTTGAAGAGGAGGCGGTCATTTTGGAAGTGGGTGGCAATCTTCTATAAGGGGGGGGGGGGTAGTCGTGGTCATCTACGAGAGCTGAATGGTTATGTAAAGTAGTAATAATTTCTAATGGATTCTTGTCTCAATTGTTTTTTGGAAATCACTTACTCTGTCTGAGCACACTGCATAGAGCTGTACAAGGCGTTCATGTCTGACTTTCTTCATGACGTTGGCCTCAGCCAGGAAGGCTGCAGGTGACATGGTCCCTTCCTTCAGAGTCTTGACAGCGACAGGTGTGTTACCATTCCATACTCCTAAGGTGCAGAAGAGGGACAAAAAGGGCCACAGGGTTATTAACAGTTGGTACCAGGATGACGATTGTAAATGGACAAAGGTTAGCCTTATGAATGTACGGTGCACGGATAAAAATCTGGGAACGACCGTCACTGCGGCAAATGTTTAATAACCAAAATAATACCTACGCCAGAGATGCCTACCTCTTGACACAAAAAACAGACTGAAAATCCTAAAATATCAGATTTTGGAGATAAAAATCAGATTTTCACGAAAACTCGACACTACAACTGGCCTGTTGGCCCTGGCTAGTAAAATTTCAGAAAAATGTTTTACTTGTAAGAAAGGCCAAGTAAAATGTTTACTCTTTTAATAAAATTTAATGAGAAGATTATAAAGCAAATTTTTTGGGGGGTTGCAGAGGCTTACTTTTTTTTTCTTTTTTTTTAAAGATGAAAAATCGTATTATTAATATTGTATTATCGTATTTCACTCTTATCATCGTACTAAATACGATTTAATCGTAATGGTTGGCATCTCTGCTAAGCTATAAACAAATGTTGCAGGAATAAATGTTGAATAACCTGAATACCTACCTTGCCAGACCTCACCAAACTGTCCATGTCCGAGTCGTCTGGTCATCCTGAGGGACTCCCGAGGGATCTCCCACCGGTCTTTACCGAGACCGATGGTGTTAGGGTTCTCCTTAGGGCAAGCTCTGCTCAAGATGCAGCATAGGCCATCGATGTTACCTGAGAGACAACAAGAGAAATAGAGAGAGATGGGGAGAGAGAGAGAGAGAGAGAGAGAGGGATAGAGAGAGCAGAGAGAGAGAGAGAAAGAGGGAGAGCAGAGAAAGAGAGAGAGCACAGAGAGAAAGAGCAGAGAGAGAGAGAGCAGAGAAAGATAGAGAGAGAGAGAGAGAGCAGAGAGGGAGAGATAGAGAGAGAGCAGAGAGAGAATTAAAGTAACTGTAAACCAGAAATTTTCATATTCAAACTTTCACAAATTCTGCTAGTAGTACGGAATTCACAAACGTTTCATGCCCCAAAATCCATTAGCATGTAGAACAGGTACATTGAATCTTTCACAAAAGGCAACATTTCTCTGACTGGACTAATAACTATGCAGGCTGGTCCAGACTTTCCAATTAGTCATTACACCCCCAATCAACGCCATCAACGCCATCCACACAGATCATCAACTCCACCAGTTTAATGGTACATGTAGCATTAACCTGTGTACTGTGTTTCGGAAGCTTCAGGTGAATTACCCCATTTCTATATCACTGCAAGATAACCCTTTAATTGCCTGCAAATAGTACCGTAAATCTCAGTGTATGAGACGCATCTTATACACGGTCATTTTACAGTATAGTATTAATGACTGCTTTGAGAGAAATAGTTGTTTTATTACGCTCAAGGGAAGGTTAGAATTGTGCTATTCCCCGAGGCTTGCCGAGGGGAATAGCCCAATTGTAACCTTCCCGAGAGCGTATGAAAACAACTATTTCTCGAATATTAAAGCAGTCATTAATACTTTTATATGCCGAAAAAAAATAGACTAAAAAATAAAAAATAAAAAATAATTTGCATTTTTGTCGAAGACGGGATTCGAACCCTTGCGTAACATCAAGAGGTGTATTGAAAACCAACGCTTAGACCACTCGGCTATCGTGCGGCGATAACATGCTTGACAGTTTTCTCCGATATATACATTAAAATGGATTGAAAACGGCTCCGCGTGAGGGATGCTTCGCAAAAGCTCCATGAAACGGACCCTTCTTTTACTTTTGCAATGCATATTGGCACGAACTTAGATCAAGATCTATCGGCAGATGTTGTTTTTTTGTTTTTGAGAGTTAATTTTCGTCTTCATGTCAACAATGCAAGATAAAATTGTCGGTAAGATCGATCGAGATTCAATTGTATTGAAATTGCCGACCAATTTTTCGCACACGTATGGTATCCTCCATCGCTCAAACCATTTTTTAACATGTAAACCTATGGGGTAACCATGGAGACTGACCTATTTTTTTAATAACCATGGTTATTAAAAATATTGAAATGTTTTATGCATGGTTACCGGGAATTTTACAGGAACAGTTGAAGTTTATGAATGCAATTCGACCAATCAGATGGCTGGATTTCTTAAGTGAGGTATATAATAGTTTTTACTGGAATTTTCAAAATAACCTCAAAGCCTATTAACAGCACAGGGCTATCAACTAGAGAGAGAGTGTTAACTCTTTAGCTACTGCATTTTCTCCTTCCCATAGGTTTGAATCCGGCCCCCCCCCCAACTCCGTGAACAGAGGGATACCATGCATGTTACTAAAATGTCCGCTAAAGGGGTACTTTCCACGCACCGGCAAGTCCGGCTCGTAGTACACAAAATCTGGCCCGTATTACACACCAGACTTAGGGGGGTGTTTTCTAAAGGAGGGAACATACATATGCGTACCCTAAATAACACTGAGTGGGGGGGCCGGGGTTTGAATACAGGGATCACCCGGTTCCTGTAGGGAATACGGAGTAGACCATGGTATAAGGAAGGACCTCGCAGCTATACTTACTCTGGTAGTGACGAACAAGCTCTGAGAGCGTCGGAAAGACACTTCGTTGAGTGATGAAGAAGCCGTTGCCTCCGTCCATCTTCCGTATCCTGTAATGTTTGACATGATCTCCCTTCTGAGGGTCGTTATCTCTCACAGACAGCGAGAAGGTTCCTGCAAACAATCATTGTTTCAATTTCAATCTTTTTTTAAATTCATTCATAATAGAAAAGACAAGAACATGGCAAAAGTCTGAAGATTACAGCTATCACATGGTCTGCTCGCTATTTATAAGGACTGCTATTCATAAAGGATCACTATTCATTTAGTCACGCGTTATGGATAGCGGTCCTTATGAATGGCGGTCCTTATTAATAGCGAGTTAAATTGTCTATGGTTTGCTCGCTATTTATAAGGACCACTATTTGTAAAAGACCGCTATTCATTTAGTCACACGTTATGGATAGGGGTCCTTATGAATGGCGGTCCTTATGAATAGCGAGGTAAATTATCTATGGTTTGCTCGCTATTTATAAGGGCCGCTATTCATAAAGGATCGCTATTCATTTTGTCACGCGTTATGAATAGTGGTCCTTATGAATGGCGGTCCTTATGAATAGCTTGACCCGTTACCACAACGCTTTTCAACAAATGTATATCAACGTACTAATTTTAACAATGCTTCAAATGATCCATTCAGGAAATAAACGTGTAAGTGTTATATTTGCCACAGATCACGTATAAACTGGCAACTATGCATGTGCACCTTGTGAGAAAATATCCATGTTAATCTGTACCACCCAATATGTAATAAATAACCACACTTCCTGATAAATGGATTACAAATTATGTACCCTGCCCTAATTATACTTGTACATTTTCTATTTGACACATATTTTTTACACACCCCCTCTAAAATAAACCCCCAAAATATGTTGTTCTTCATTCACAACCATGACAATGAAATTTTACAAAATATACAATAGTGTAAGCAAATGGAAGGAATGTTCATTGAAAGACTGTGACATACATGTGTACATGTAGGTATGTCAAAGGGCGTGTTCATGCTTAACTTTTTCTGGCCAGAATCAGGCATCTGTTACGCGTTTAGTTTAAAACACGGTTGCGTCCATGCTCACTTTTGTAGAATCACCGAAAAAACGGCGATCACGATCGCCGATCCTAAACTCACAAAAAGATGCGTTTACAATTTGTAAACGCGTTTAAATGGGGTCAATGCACTGACCTCTAGTGGTCTACGTAGCATGCACAGTGCAGGTTGCGAATCCAGCTGCAAGGCCAATTAAGGCCACACAGGGAGAATTGCCTGGAGGGGCCAGAGAAGTGAGCATAAACACTACACTGTGGAACTGCGATTACGATGAGCGTTTACGATGTGCGTTTCAGATCGCTCATTCTACCTTCAAAAATCAAGCATAAACGCAGCCTAAGTCTTTTAAATTTGCATTTGATTGATTCCAATTTTTTTTAATCCATTGTTTTTTTTATTTTTTACTTGTTTTTCATATAACATCACCAGTTTGAATTGTAGTTAATGTTCGGGTTTACACCATACAAAACTTTCTAATTCGTCCTACAATCTGTTTTGCTCACTTTTTTTCTCCTTTTTCATTAAAACCAAAGTTAACCAACTTAATATCAAGCATTCTAGTTGACTTTACTTTAAATGATTGATTTTGTTTTCTTCTTACCAGGGTTAGCTTCTCCATCCCTCACAATGAATTGTCCTTTATTTATACCAATGGCTATCAACTTCTTCTCGGCATCCTTACGGGCACACTTTCCAAAATACCAACTGAAAAGAAACAAAAACAATTGAATTATTGTTCACTAATTACGTAGAGAGAAAAAATTTGATAAACAAAGATGATCCTTCAATGAATTTTGAACTTTGAAGGCATAAAATTATTCTATCAATTACTTCTATAACGACTCTGCATATCAAATCTAAATAATCTGCCAGCCACCACAATATCCTAACTTGGGAATTTATAGAATTTCTTGTGAAACATGATATACATATAAAGATATAAACTGAAAATCATTCTTGTTGAAACATGCACAAGAAATGACATGCGTTTTGAACATACAAATTGTGAAAGTTGTAGATCTTGGCAGCGTTTCACAGAAAGAACTACATCTTATCAGGTAACTTCTTGATCTTATAGGGCTTCAATATTACACCATATCACAGACACTGATAACACGTAGACCCATGCATCTCAGATTTAACATTGTTAAACGATGCCTTTAAGCTCAAAGGTCATTAGTCTTTTTATCCCAATATTACACATGTGAAAATATCCTGCTCATACAATGAACACGGCAATCAGATAGGGTTCTTGTGCTTTCAAAATAAAACATGCAACTAGAAACTGAAACTAAAGCACACACTATCATAATTTATCAAACCGTACAGTGTACATGTACATGTGAGTAATATCATGATCAATCATATACGGTAAACTGTGACAATATATTGTTTATGAATTTTAAGGAAAGCAACACTTATAAATGTTGATATTAAAAAGAGGGCAACAACGGCCTCACTGGTAATAAATTACTATCTTTAATACACTACACATGAGCTGTGTGTTGAAACTATCTTTTGTTATTTGATACTTAAAGAGAAGGTTGAGTTCTGGAAAGATCGAGGTGACAAGTAATTTGTGAACGTTAGCATTGTACTATGCAAGTGTGAAAGAACATCAGATAGAAAATGTTCCCTGAAAAGCATGGCTCTTCAAAATGCCTTAATATTCTAAATATGGCTTTTAAAATCATAAAAATCGGGACGGATTTTTTTTTTACGCCACATGTTCGTGTAGTCTCATGTACATCTCTCTGGGTACAGTGCTTGTAACTTCACCCCGACTGGGCCAAATTTCTTATCATTTTGATGATTCTAGGACCTTGCAGTTTCTTTCATGGTGCAATTGCATGACCAGAACTCAACTTTATCTTTAAAGGTAAAGACCAGTTATGGTCATGCGATTGCATTGTGAAAGAAACGTTGTGGAATCGATCAGAAAAGGTTGATCATCTAGCATCTGCAAGGTTCTGGAATCATCAAAATGATAAGAAATTTGGCCCATTCTTCGTAAAGTTACAAGCACTATACACAGAAAGATGTATATGGGACTACCCTATATCTCTCACAGACCATGAGAGAAACAAATTTACCAAATATATGAATTAGTAGGCGGTTTCCCGGCAAATTTTGTATCATCATGTATTAGTCAAAACATATTCTTTCACATGATTGGTAATGAGAGCTTCCATTTCATTTTTTGAAATTGGGGCGTTTCCAATACTAGTCTTTACCTTTAAATGCTACTAAAACGATATTGAAACAGTAACTGTCAATCTGTCTGAATAGAAGACTTGGTCATGTGCCAAAGGCATGTACATGTACTGGCTAATTTATTCAATCTTTTAAGCATGTAATTTGTTGCCATCAGAAGTTCAGAACTAAATATAAATTTAATGTACAAATGTAGATTGTCTCTTTCTCAGAGACCATGTTTGTGAAGAAGAGAAGAGAAACTCTTAGAAAGGACTGTTTCAATTCAATTCAATTCAATTAATATTTATTTCATTTCCAACAGAAAAATAAACAAAGGTATTACATAACGTATGAACAAATGTATGTGAATATTCATCTTTGCTTGGTAACGATACAAATACACTTCACACATAATCAAATTATTACACGAAATTCTTAATTTCTGAGGAAATGGGCTTGAGAAGAATAAAAGAAGGAAAGGTCGACTGAAAGAAGAGATGGGTAAACTGAATCAATATAAAATCTATTTATCCCATGGAGATGAACTTCACAAAGAGGGGTGTCATTTCTATTTTGAGGGGGGAAAATGGAGCCATTCAAAATACAGTTGAGTTCTGGTCATGTGATTGCATTGTGAAAGATAAGGTGTGGAATGGATCAGAAAAGGTTGATCATCTAGCATATAAGTATTGGTGTGTACTGCAAAGTTCTGGAGTCACCAAAATCATAATAAATTTGGCCCAGTCTTGGTAAGTTACAAGCACTGTACACAGAAAGATGTATATGGGACTACGGGATATCTATCCAGTCCGGATAGATATAATAATTTACCAAATACATCAATCAATAGGCGGTTTCCTGGCAAGATTTGTATCATCACGTATTAGTCAAAACATATATCTTTTACATAATTGGTAATAAGAGCTTCCATTTCAATTTTTGAGAGAGGGGGTGTTTCCAAAACTGGTCTACCGTAAATCTCCGTGTATAAGGTGCACCTCTATTTTTTTTTTTGGGGGGGGGGGGGAAAGAAAAAAAAAAAAAAAATTGTTTTTCGTTTTGTTGTTGTTGTTGTTTTGTTGCTGAAAACCCACGCGGGGAAGGACCTTCATTTTACATCGAGGTGCAGTTGAAGTTGTGAACTTGTCACAATAAATAGTAACAATGTAAATTAAAAACAGGTCCAGACTCTAAGGCTTCATGATACCAAGTGTTCCACACCAGCCTCATCACATCACCTAGCAGAAGCACTGTGTTCTATGCCAAACATCAATAGTCATGCATGATATGAATAGAAAAAAAAATTGAGGAATTATTATTATAAACTACATATTGAGATCTATTAGAAAGATTACTTTCAAACCAAGATGACAGACAAATTTGAGTGTTGTTGTAGTTTCCAAATGGTGAGTCAACACACTGATTACTGAGCTGGGAGACATTGCCAGGCATAGCACCAGGCCATAAATCGAAACTAAAACAAAAAAAAACTTTCAAATTTTTTTGGCGGCAAAAAAGTGTGCCTTATACATGGAGATTTACAGTATACCTTTAACCTGAACAAATTTTACTCAATACTCAAAGTTTCATCAAAGTTTCATCAAAGTTCATGGGTACCATTATCCCGCTTAAAGCATGGAACAGCGAATTTCATTATGCATGTGGAACTGAGTGAAAAGAAGCAAATCACATTTCATTTCCACAAAGTCACCTTTTTTCTTCAATAAAGCATTCTATTTCCTGAACTTTGGAACTAACTTTTGTTACAAGCTGATCAACCTTACTGGGGAAAGAAAGATATGAATTCAATGATCACACCTTAACAAAAGAGCTTTACTGTAGCATGTAGATGTGCGTCTACATTTGTATTTCTTGTCATGCATGGTCATCTATTATCATTACTTCTACATTTGTAGTTTCACAAATAAAAACCCAGTACTTTGTTAGGACTAGTAGAGCAACATACCATTGAGACTAAGACCCCGTTCTCATTCACTTCGTTGGAGCGGTCTAACTAAGACCCGTTCCTCAGGAGCAGTTCTTAGGTGAGTGAGAACGGTCAAAGTGGTCCAGGAAGTGGACTTCTGGACCGCTCCAAAAGACCACCTCAGGGGGTAGTCTTGAGGAACGGGTCTTATTAAGAGCGGTTTGGACCGCTCTAACGTGCAATGTGAACGGAAGCGTACTTTGAACGGAATTGAGCTAGTGACGTTCCGTGCAAAACATGTAGTACGGTACATACGGTTTGTATTCCGCGCGCGAAAAAATTGACCTGCTGACCTGAGCTGCCATAGCAACAAGACCACTTTGACTCGTGGAGCGGTTTGAGCCATGAAAAACTGCTCGGAGTGTGAACGCTCGCAAACCGTTCCTCAAGACCCATTCCTCTGGAGCGGTCTAACTAAGACCACTTTCACAGTGAGTGAGAACGGGGTCAAATATTAGAACACGACTGTACTTGCTTTTGTAAGTCATCATTTTCAATCTTCCACAATGGAACTTTTATTGGTAGATAAAAGTGTGTACATGCATGTTGGAATACTTGACACTTAAAGATAAAGTTGAGTTCTGGCCATTCGATTGCATCGTGGTAACGGTGCGAATTCAATCAGAAAAGGTTGATCATCTAGCATATAAGTATTGGTGTGTACTGCAAGGTTCTGGAATCATCAAATTGATAAGAAATTTGGCCCAGTTTTGGTAAAGTTACAAGCACTGTACACAGAAATATGTGGGACTACATGAACATGTGGCATAAAAATCTGTCCCACTTTGTATGCTGTTACATTGCATATTTAGAATATTAAGACATTTGAAGAGCCATACTTTTCAGGGAACATTTGTTATCTGATGTTCTCCCAAACTTGCATAATAACAATGATAATGCTCAGGAATTATTTTTCACCTCTTCCCAGAACTCAACCTTCTCTTTAAAGGTACATGTACACATGTTCATGCAGGAAGGTCCACAGGAGGTTTAAACTTGTACCTACAACAGCTTTGAAAATCAGCTACCGGTTTAGTTGTGATTTTAAATCAAGGTTTGAAAGTCAGCACCAGGTGATTATCAATACTCTACCAAAATAATTTATAAAATATAAGTCATACAATTTGGTTTGAAATGCTTCAAAATATGGATCATATTGCATCAGGGTGCATCTAAAAGCCTAAGAGCCCTTAAAAGCAAGCCCTAGAGTCTGGCTACATTGGACTGAACACGCTTTGCATGTACATCGATCAGTTCATACTCCAAACATGTTTGAAGTTTTAGTTTGTGGACCACCTTGCATGTTGGTGTGTATAATTTCTGTACAGGCAATGCTTGTTCACATACGCTGGGTAAATTCCGCATCATACATGTACAGGCTGTATGTGAACGAGCCCAAGAAAGCCTTAAATTTTAAGATGGCACCACATGTAACCGCACCCTTAAATGAACCGTTGTAATGTAAACATCATGAGAAAAAAAACTGGAAATAACCTGTTAATAGCCTTTGTAGAACACTTTC